GGGCAGGCGCTCTTCCCGGACGATTCCCCCCCCTCGCTGCCACCAGGCGAGCTCAGGAAGCCATCCTCAGCCAGAGCTAGCTCAAGCTGCTGCTGCTTTAGCGAACCGGGAGATTTGCCTTTGCCTGTCTCCATCTCTGCAGATACTCCCCCAAAGTCGGCGGCAAAGTCGTCCAGGAAGGGGGGCACAGCGCCTGACCCGGGAGGGGGCGGCCTGACAAGGGTGGCGGCGGCCGACAGAAACGATCGGGTTGGCGGGGTGGTACATTCCACGATGCCGTGGTAAGCAGGTGCTGCATAGTCAGAAATTGATGCATACGGGGAGGATACTGCCGCGCCGTTCGGGTTTGGAGAGGTAGAAGGGGAGGAGGAGAAGGAGGAGAAGGAGAGCGATGACGAGGGCTGATTTCCTGATTCTGCCTCGAAGAAAGCGCTGTCTGAATCGGCAGATACTGGTGTGATCGTTGGGTCTTGAGAGTCTCCTGCCTTAGTGGTGGGGCTGTGCCGCAAAGGAGAGCGTGGGAGTGGACGGGTCTCAAAGAAGGCGTGGTCTGTCCAAGCCCCCGCTGGGGACGTAAACGGGCTAGTCAAGTTTTCGCCTCGCTCCAGTTCTTCCAGAGATTGCTGCTGAAACGTCAATGGTGTGTTTCCCGATCCAGACGCCACGCTGGAAAATGAGGAGGGTTTGGGCCGCTGCGGCTTGTGGGAAACGAGTTTGTCGGGGGCGGAGGAAAGACTCGCCGAGTCAATTGTTCCCTCCCTCTGTGTGTCCGAGACCGCAAGGCCATCGCAGCCGACCTCAGCAGTACTACCAGAAGTCATTTCTCGACGATTGTTGTCCGGCCTGGCAGCTTATTGACGCCTGCCAGACCGAGTGACGCTAAAGCGGACAAGTATCCTAGTCTGTCGATGCCCGTCCCGTGCGTCCCTGGCAATGCACAACATTCTACGACGCGTACATCGGTGGGCCCCTAGAAAAAAGACAGAGACCCGATGTTAAATGCGCCTGTGATTCGATATATGCTTGCTTCCAAAGCCGGGGGGACAAAATCGTGCAACTTGCGCCCCTCCGGGAAAGGCAGCAGGACGGGGCTTTGCGGCCCCGCGTCCCCCCCTACAACTAAATCGCTAAATTGAGCGGTCGAACAAGGTGACCAAACACTGATCCCCCCTTCCCTTTCCGCACACACCTTCAGCATAGCGTAGAGTAGAAATTCGCAATCTCGACTGAGTGGCTCTTTGGCTAAATATGTCATCGAGTAGGCCGACGTCTACCACTACTAGTGGGGTTGGGTCAAAAGGCGGTCAAAGCAGCAAGCCGAAGTCCGACACCCCATCTAGTGCAGCACCCGTTCCATCAAAGTGTGATCCAAACATTCCCACGTCGAGCTCTGATTGTCTGGGGTCTGCAATCCAGCTGCCTCATGGGGAGCCGCAGGGTCACTTGGCTCGGCAAGACGACCCTGCAAGGTATGTGCGTTCTCTGCTCGATGACATGCAGAGTCGCTTCGAAAATATGAGCCAGCAGATTTTAAGCAAAATTGATACATTTGGATCCAAGGTCGACGCCCTGGAAGCCGAGATATCGGAGCTTATGAATGAAGCTGGGGCTGAATTTGAAGACGAAGTGCTGGGGAAGTCAGAGGGAAAAGGGAAGGAGGTTCTTTCCGAGAAGATAACATTGGACTCTGAAGCGTGAGTAAGTCGTACCATAGACAGGGCACTGAAATTGTGAAAGTAGACAGCTGTTGGAAAATTGTCTGACCCTCTGCCCATGTATGAACGTAGAAGTTCCGAACGAATACACAGTACAGTAAGAAAAGGCATGGCACTCTGATTTTGTTTTGTTTCTTTCACTCAAGGCGTTTCACCGGCCGAGAATATCTGACAGCCATCTGTGCATTTAACATGTCATGCTTTTAAAAAGCAATATCACTCTTTCCTTACAGCTCGTCGGGCACGTCGCTCAGCAGGTCTATGAAGTCCTGGAAGTAGGAAGCGCCCTTCTTCTGCGCCTCGATGAAGCCCTGAAAGTCTTTGCTCTTGGTAGGCTTATCCATGTCCAGCGTCAGACGTTGAAAATCTTTGGCAATGGCCGTGCCCTTTTCCTGTTTTTGAGTAGAAAGTCAAGAATTGTACTAAGGTCCGGGTTAGACAGGCCCTCACGGAACCATAAATGAATGCGTTCCGGTAGGAAGACGACTGCCATTCGGTAACGAAGGAGGGCTCACTCAAATTCGGCATGCACGCAATGATATGATATGCATAATTGCTCTAGACAAATACCCTATTCGGAGTCCCGCCTTACCCGCTTGCTCTCCTCAGCATCGCGAACGATTCGCCGCATGTCCTCGCCCACCATATAAGAATTTCTGAAGATCACATGACATATGTAAGAAATGTTATAAAAACTTTACTTGATAAGAGCATGACGAAGCGGATCTCGATTCCTCAAAAGCTATACATCAATCCGCTATATAGCATCTCTCTTTCTTCCGTCTTCCCTCTTACCGCAAGAAGATCTGAGTATTCACCCATTCCTCGTCCGCCAGCTTCCCTTCCCTGTCAGCAATCGTTTTCCCCACCTTATTCCATTCTCTCTGACCGCGAATGACGCGCTGAAATGCCTCTGTAACGGCGGGCAATCCACCTGGCAGCGTGATTTCAATCAAAACGTTAAATCATTAGCTCCTTACGAGATCGTGTTATCGTTTCTATCCAAAGTTTCTATGTTTCAGCAAGATTATATACCTTCTCCAACCGCTGCCATGGCTTGAGACGGCGCGGAGATCCAAGTAGCACCGCCAAACATGAACATCGACAGGGTCACTGCCTGACACAGAGAATTGTGCAAGGCGGAGCGGCGTTCAAGGCTCGTGCCACAGTCCTCGTTTCCTCCAGCGCTTAAACGAATTTTGAAGTCACGTGATGGAAGAGAGAGGGGCGGTACGAAAGCTGCCGCTCCCACTATCGTGGCTAGAATGAGGCCCACGCTGAGACCGCGCATCGTGCTCGACCTGTACCTGGAATCAAAGCATCGATGAAGTTAACTTCTGTCCACCGACGGACCCTGGCTCAGAGTCCAACGATATGGCAAAATTGAAATCGAAAGATTCCAAGACATTTGCACACGTCTCGCATCGCGCGCTACCGATTTGTCCACAAGTGAGAGCCGTCCCTTGATAACGGGGTTCGACAGGGGCAGGGCCTGAGCGACACCGCGGCGAGCGGCGAGTGGGAAGGGCGCAACTTAATCGAACAAACACGACTGCGCGCCGCCAAAATGCGAGCGCCGGTGGGTGTAAAACATGCGTGGAGTGACATGGCTGTCGAAGGAAGTGCAGAGTCGGTCACCTTCTAAACACATTTGGCGACCACAGGTAGATTCAGGGTCGACGCAAATGATGAGCCGCTTCGCCTCTTTCTTTGGCCGTGGCGCCGGGAATGAAGGGGAAAACGAGCAAACGCACGCTCCCGCGCCCGCCCCCGCGCCCGTTCCCCACCAACAGCAACCGCATCGACACCATAATCAGCAACAAGCGTCACACCGGCAGCCAGCACCTCCGCCACAAGGGAAGGCTTCTGCGTCTACCGGCAATCGTCCACGCTCTGGGAGCAGCGGAAACAGTGGGAGCTCCCGGCATAAGACGGGGAAGAGGAGAGGGACTTCGAAGACAGGGCCTCCTGCGGGAGGCCTTTCTCCACGCTCAGTGTCTGCCCTTGCGAAACTGGAAGATTACGCTCACGATGCTGATGCGTTGGAAAAGCTATTGGCAGGCGTGGAGTTGTGTTTGCAAGATTATCCGCGCACTCCAAGGGCACGGTTGTTGGAAGCCAAAGATCAAATCGCTCAAATGAATGGAAATCTTGAGAAGCTACAATACAACGGCGTCGACTCTATCATAACGGCTGAACTGGAGAGTGGGAAAGAAAAAGCAAAGGAAAAGCGAAAAGCCTTGAATCAACGGTGTGACAGCTTGCGGGAGCGAATATTGCAGAATTCTAGAGACCTGGCAAAAATGTTGACTGCAGGGGCAGGGAAATAAAGCAGTTGCACAAAATTTCGAAACAAATTATAAATTGAAGCACCTTTGTCTACACTCTTGTGATAATGGATAATCTAAACACAAGCCTTGGCAAAGCTCTTGCTCAGGCATCGTGCACACACATTGCTAGTATCATACGTGTACTTTATTGATTTAGGATAAGCGTATCATTCGGTATCTCATAAGTACTATGTACTGTTGTTGAGGAGCATCAAGCTCGAAGCGAGTGCCATATGGACCAAGTATTCTCTAACTCTTGACGGGTCGTCACTCAATTAATTTATCTATTAGGATCCATGGGCAGTTCTTTCAGACCAAGTGTCAATTAATTTATCTATAAGGATCCATGGGCAGTTCTTTCAGACCAAGTGTTTAGGGCATGTCACACATTCAACGTTTGTAACGCTATAGAAGCGATGCCCTTGTAGATCCGAGCACGGGGAAACTACTATGCGAGAGCTTGCGGCAGGGGAATGCGCTGGCAGTGATCTCGTGAGGGTATCTGAGTCCCGCGCCTTACAGGAAGATATGATCGTTCTATATTATTGAGGGGGCTATCGCCCTTGAGGCCGGTGTACGTGTTGTGGTGGTGAGACGAATGGCATGCAAGGCGTGTCCTTGGACGGCGACGACAGGCGTCTGTCGAGAATTGGTCGGGCAGGTAGCCCATGCAGCGAGGACATGCCTTCCCACTCCATAGTTTGGCATGCCACCGTTGTATTCTAGGTTTAGTCCGGCAAGGTCCGTCTACCAGAATAAGCCGTAGATCCTTTCGAACATTCCATCGTCCGCCTCCCGACGTCACCCTTCTGCGCCCCTCAAGGAGCACCCATCCCACCAGCGATCCATGCCCTCATAAATGTCCAATTTTATCGCATAAACCCTTGAGTGAATCTCTTTTATCGCCGTGATCACCTCAGAAATCGTCGTAGTAAACCCATTCCAACGTCAATCCGTGCGCCGGTGCTGCTCTGATCGGGCTCCTTCCCTTAGCATACAAAGGCCCGTCCAATGCCCTTCGCAGCTCCGCTTCACTCATGTCTCCCCGTGCCACGGCCCAAAGTCCTCCCACCATATTCCTGACCATACGTTGCAGTGCTCCATCCAAAAGCACGTGGATCGCGTATTCCTCTGGCGCCTCCGAAACTAGCTCCACGGACCGCACGTGTCTTACGGTTGAAAATTCTTCCCCCTTTTTGCTCATTCGCCGCTTGTGTTGCAAGCGATTAGCGAAATTCTGATAATCATGCTTTCCCTCGAAAATGCTGGTCAACTCAGCCAATTTGTGTAGGTCTAGCGCCTCGCCACGGGGGACAGCGCAACAGTAATTCCGGTGCAGCGGGTCAGCCACAGCACGGGTGGAGAACCGATAAGTGTAGAGCTTTGAACGGCTGTTGTACATAGCGTGCCAATCTCCTTGGACCGCCAGGTTTTTCTCTCGGGGAGGAGGGGCGTGCGACACGTTCCAGAGCCGGACGTCTGCGACCAGTCCCTCGTTCAGCTTCGTTTCAAATTCTTGAACAGTAAACCGTCCTGCAGCCACCGCCGGGTAGTCAAAATGGATGACCTGTCCTCGTGCATGGACACCAGCATCCGTTCGACCGGCTGCGACGGCCCGAATGCACACCTTTTCAAGCAAGTCGGAGTCCGGGCAGGCGGCGAGGGTTGAGTTGATGGCGCGTTCGACCTCGAGTTGCACCGTTCTACTCTTCACTTGGAATTGCCAACCATTGAAGTGCGTCCCATCGTAAGCAAGTCGGGCTACAAAGCGCGTCATAGGAACAGTAGGATTTTTCCACCAGGCTCTGGGTGTATAATCTCCTGATAAAGACATCCTGCAGGGGCTATGCCACACCATCGCCCCCCGACAAGCCGCGATTACCAAAAGGCAACAAAGCGCCAAAAGATGCAGCCGCTTCAAACGGCACTCCGTTTCATGCGCGTTTAGCCCCATAAGCAGTTTTTAAAGTGTCGACTATCGGCGCCCGTGCTTGGGAGGCGTCTGGGAGCTCCTCCACCATGTCCAGCCAGGAGGTTAAACGTCAGTCCAAAGCCTGTCTCGAAAACCACACATTGCGTTAGCAAGGACTGCGCTAAAACGTATTCTGTATTATCCTGTACTCACACCACAGTAAAAACGATGAAACCCACCAGTTTGCTCGTCCCGAGCTCGCTCCTGCTTTTGAGCAGCAGTCTCTTCGTGTCCTCTTTCGTCATTCAATCGCACACTTCATCGATAATAGGTTTAAGCGCTAAGTCCTCTTCCCCCGGTAGTAGCAGCAGGAGCAGTACAAGGATGGTTGAGAAGATATACATTGTAACGGGCTCCACTGATGGGATAGGCCAGCATACAGCCAGTAATTTAATCAATACCCCAGATGCCAAACTCTTGGTACACGGCCGCAATCCTACCAAGGTTGCTCAGACCGTACAACAGTTGAAATCAGTAAACCCCGGGGATATAGATGGCGTCGTGGCCGATCTGGCTTCATTTCAGGACATTCGACGACTGGCCAAAGATTTGGAGGAGAAAATAGAAGCTGCATCTCCCGATGCCCCCGTGGTGCTGATTAACAATGCGGGTGTGTTCGAGACCAGGCGTAAAGAAAGCCCGGAAGGATTGGAAATGACCTTCGCCATCAACGTCGCTGCTCCATTTCTATTGACTGGCCTTCTTCTTCCTTTACTTCGGAGGAGAAAGAACAGTCGGATAATCAACATCTCCTCCATTTCCCAAGGGGGGAGCATACCATGGGACGACCTACAGCTCGCACTTCCCGGGGCCTATACCGACCATCGAGCCTACTCGCTCAGCAAACTATGCATGGCTATGCTCAGTATGGAGCAGAGCAGCCGTTTCGGTTCCGCTGAGTTTCCAATTGTGTGCTGCGACCCCGGTACGGTAAACACGAAGATGCTGGAAGCGGGGTGGGGGATGTACGGGGTGGACGTGTCGGCTGCCAATGACGAGACCCTCCTGGCCCTCGCCCCATCCCTCGACAACGGGTCTTATTTTGTCGGCAGGATGGCACGGAAAGCGAACGCAGAGGCTTACGACCCAAAGTCACGGGCACGGTTGTGGCAATACCTGGAGGAGGTGACGGGATTCGCGTACTGAGACATGTCATGTCGACGCAAGCGCGAAGAGGGAAGGAATGGAACAAAGAATTTTTGTGACAGGGCGGGAATTGAGTCCCCAAAACAATTGCACATTTACATTTTCTTTGCACATCGCGTGCCTGTGGCTCGGGGGCCACAAGGAACCCTCAGTCCACGACCCGTTTTCCAGGCAGCCCTTATCGGCGGCCTGGGTCTTTGCCCGTTCATCTCCTCGCGTTCGCCTAGACCCACCCCGTGTCGCTATCCAGGAAAAAAACGCACATGCAGGGGCAAGCGCGCCGTTCTCTTGGCATCTGGCCGCCCGTGGCACCATTCCTGCCGTCAACTTTCCCGCACCACAGCTCTCTGGAGTCAGATCAAATGTTCAGCAGGTTCTCCGTCACCTTTCTCCCGGTCCGGCTGCTGCCCTCCTCCAAGGACGGAGTGGACCAGGACCCGGAGGCGGTACCTCTAGAACCAGTCCCCCCCGTCTGCCCCCGCTTTGACATCGGCCGCAAGGGGGAGGGCGTGACGCCGCTATGGCTGCCGAGCTGGCCAAGGCGGGGGGTCCGCCCCCCCCCCC